TTGTTATGAATGCAAGGACAGTGAACTGAACACATAGGCCCATACAATCTCCTCATCAGAGTCTTCCAGTATGGTAGACCTTATAGATCCCATTGTGCCCGTGTTTTTGCAGTGCATTTCGATTCTCTGTTGATGTATTCAGCAGCATAGTCTCAAGGTCAGAGAGCTGCAGTTTTAGAGGAACTTTAGCCCTCGCTCTGCTCCTGTCATCTGTAACTTTTCACTTCACTCCTGACCCAAATGCTCCCATGTTCAATACACTGAAAAATACAAGATTTCACATTTATATTTCAATAGTCTACAGAAAGACCATGTCATGACTTCTCCAGGAGGTCACTGGGCTATAAGCATGAAAATACTGTGAATAGCAAGAAGACACTGCAACTATTACACGTGCATCGCTACCTGAGAATTATTACATAAAAATATTGTATTAAAAATTGTTTATTTAAAGGGGCACTATGGAACTTTTCTGGTAGAGGGTCTTCCGTAACGCTATTCTGTGGAACATTCTAGGTAAAGGTAAAGGTAAAGGTGTATACCAGGAGTCACCAAACTTTTTTCTCAGGGGGCCACATTATCGCTTGACTGTAATGGGGGGCTGGGGTCGGCTCACCCGTATAACAGAATTGTATGACCCTGACAACGCAGATTATATTTTTGAAAACCGCCACACTGTCTTTACATATCAGACAAACTGCACGGTCCTTACACTAGACAAAAAAATAATTGGTTGTCCACTGTTCTTTGAAAACCCGGCACTCTGCCAACTTTTCGTACTTTATCACTCGCCATTTTGCTGTCCTTAACTGCACTACAAAACTCTGCACATGCTTTGACTGTCACTGTTTGATTTTGAGATTGTCAGGTGATGAAAATTTTGTGTCAAATGTAAATACACCATATAATTATTTAAATATAATATAAATACTTAATATAAATATAATTTTTAATTGAAAAAAAAAAAAATACAAGATCCAGATGTGTTATTATTTGCCAAAAAGTAATAAAAAAAATAGGCCATGATAACTTTTGAGGATTGCCTCACAGGGCCAGTTCAAGTGGTGGGGGGCAGAGGTGCTGGGGGGGCCGCTCAAAGAGGCATGGCGGACGGGAGTGGACCAGTGGGGCCTTAATTTGATGACCCCTGGTGTATACCCTCCAGCAGAAAAATGAAAAAGTGTAGCTCATTTCCTTATTATTTAAGCTATGCACATTTGCAAGATATAATAATATTATCATTAACTAGTCACAAAATATAGTTTGTGAATGGAAATGTGAATGGAAATTTTTTTATGAAATTGCTTATTATAGTGTGTTAATGACTGCATACATATTGTACTGCAGTTTCTAGAAAGCAAGTACTCAAAATACTACAAAAGCAACACATTATAATTGATGTATATGTGTCTAATGTATTTTACTAACCTACTGCATGTTATGAGCAATAGACTTACAGTCTGGTATACATCCTCTTGTGCATTTAACAACTGGCTTTTAGTATTTTCCAAATGCTTTATGCCAAGTTTGTGTATAACGTTTCTGGCACAGTTCTATGGCTGCAATTTTATGGACAATTTAATTTACAGGTATGCTTTTGTGAGACTACACTTATCATACCAACATTTTTTTTTTTTCTCTCTGAGGCCATTTTCATTATAATTAAACTGGAACTGGTTTCTCTGCTCCCATGACCTTTGCCTGAAAAATATTGATGGAAAAGAAACACACACACAAGAGTAATTGCAACGGCAATATGGATTGCAGATTGTTACTGGAAGATGCTTGTTGACATTTGACCTAACAGAACAGGTTTTTGTGTTAAACGTGAAACAAAACACAACTCCAGGAATTTGTGATGAAGAAACATTATAACAGCTCAATAAAACAGTGTAATATGGACCCTTTAATGTCAGTTAGTGTCTTAAATGGTTAAACAAACATCTGGTTGGCAGAAAATGGCACTTATTTCCTTAAAACACACTTAAGTGGAGTTATTGTGATGTTATTTGTGGAAACTGTCTGACCTCACAGCATTAGGATTTGTTGCTCGACAGTAGGTGGTGCTATTTGGTCGTGACTCGTGACATATGTAATGTGCCACTAACGGGGCTAACTGGTATATTAAGCTTTTCCCAAATCCCGTAAGAAGAAAGGAAATAACATCTTTCCCCTTGATAAAATTCACCAAACATTCTCTTTCTTCCAGCTTTAAATCCTCGATCTTGGGAATCGTTGCCAGCACAGAATGTATAACTCTTCGCTGATTGGCTGGTGCCCGAACTCACACAAACCGTCTAGTGTATTCCGATTCCTGACCTAGTTGCTGGAGAGAAATGAAATTGAGCGGAGGCACTAGGTGGCGCCCGCCTGACTATGTCTCAACCTCCTCTACAGGCAATTTTATCTCTGGATAATTGAAGGTGTGCTTCAATTACCCAGAAGCCCTATTTATATGTCCATCCCGACAACACCTTCTGTCTCAGCTCTCTCAAGTGTCTCTCGTCCATCCTTCAGCCCAAAGACATCATCTTTAAGGAGGGGGGATTCCGAATCAACTGGATGACCATTTTGGAATGGAGATGGAGCCCCCATCGCATCTACCCACCATCAATAAATATCTTTATCATATTCCATTGCTGTGGCGTGGTCCTTGCTAGTGAAGATCCAGTTGTGTTATATAACTGTCATTTATCCTTCAAGTCACTACTGAACAGTTTTGTAAGAAGAAAAGTTCAAACATTATGAAACGCTTTAGGACAAAACCGGCATGTAAATAGAAATTATTACTTCCAATTAAAGGCCCAACAAGAATATTGGCTAATCAGCATTTTTTTCAGTATTGCTGCCGATATTCAATACCAGTATCAGTATCGGTGCATCCCTAGTTTAGTCCAAAAATGGCCCTTGTTTAAACCAGGTTTAGTTCTAGGCTGGTCCATGTTTGCAGTGTAAACCTAGTGTATATGAGTTCTGTGTTGTGACCCAGTTTGTCCTTTAATGTTGGCTTTGGATTTAAAGGTGAACTTAATACTTTGCATGTAATGTTCCACAATATGCCATTAAACTTAGAGACCTAGAGATAAGATCTGTGGAGAGGCAATGCTGCTCACAGTAAGAAAGCAAGTTTCTCAAGGTCTTTTTAAGCCACAATTGAATAAATGCATACTGGTTTGACATTGACATTCCAGGCTAAGCAGTAGCACTCTAAATGACATGGATGTTGAAGCTCTGTAGTAATAAACTAATATTAGAGAAAAATAAATACATTAAAAAATTCAATTGTCCATATGTTTTACTCTCCCTTTCTCTATTTGTAACATATCCACCATTACCAGGGGAACAGTTTGGAGCAGAGGTGACACCCTTATGATCTAGGTGTGATTTTTCCATTCCCAACCTGGCAACCCAGCGGCCCTGCAGTCTTCTTTGGTGTGATTTGTCAGATTCTCACATTTCTGCTTCTCTGTCAGTATCTCACCTCCCGTAGACAGCAATCTGCTCCTCACAGCATTAATGCCATTATAAAAAAAAAAAAAAAAAAAAAGACAAGCAATATAAACACAAACTCTGCCAAATAAAAAAAAATTATAATTACACTGTAGGGCTGCAAGATTAATTTCAATCAAATGGAAATTGCATTTTGAATGGATGCAATTAGCAAATCGCAAATGGTGCAATTTTTGAAGTACCATAATTTTCTCCACAAAGAACAAAATATCGTGTCTTATTCTGCATAAAATGGCAAATGCTGTAGTTTAGATCTGAACAAACATGCTCTGATTTGTGATTCGTGTATTCGTGTTTGGTCAGTTCTGAATGAATTAACTTTGAACTGAATCCCATTATTAAAACAGAAATCGCAAATCTATAATCGCAATCACAATGCTTAAAATCGGCAAAATCTTCCCACTTTTACTAACAAAATGTACCCATGTTAAATATTAAGCTCCAAAATATATTGCTCCAGCTTTCATTTATTGAACAATAAGTCCTTATAGTAATTATCATGACAGGACTATTATAGTGACAACTAATAAACATGAACTACTAAAGCGTTACATTTCATTTGTATTTTATTGTACATTTAGAATAGTTATTTGGGGCTTTAGTGTTATTGTGTGAGTTATTTTCAGTATTACCATTTATATTTTTTATATTTTTTTCAGCAATATATCATACTTCAAACTTTGTAATTGTGACAAGCCTACCCAATACTTATCAATACCATTTGACTATGGGTCTGTGTTAAAATGCACAAAATAAATCTAATTATCAAAAACTGTTGTATTTGGCTGGTTATATGCACTTGTTATTTGTTCCAGTTGGTTACAGTTTCATGAGTATTTTTTGCCTATATTTTTAAAGGAATTTATTCTGCATCTTGAAGCCTGAGCTTATTATTGTATTGTATTGTGTGTGCACTGTATGTCTATTGAAATTCACTGCAAATCAGTCTCCCTTTGGAGAATAGAATGCTTGGAAGTTCAAGATATTTGGAAGTAGATATTCACCGATCCCATACTGGTGCATGCTTCTATATTGCTTCAGCCGATAAGATTTACAGGTTGTAGGTAGCCCAGAAAGTCTCATTATGTTGGAACAGTTTTGTCTTATTTTTGTTGTAGGGAATTAATTTTATTGGTTGATATCTGTTATCAGCAAATACTTAAAGCTACAGTATCGAAATCATGGTTGGAACTGAAAAATCTGGTTGCTGTATCCCTATTTGGAAGACAAAATGGAAGAAATTTCAAAATTACTTATTTCAATCTTTAACATTTCCCGTTGTTTTGCATAACGTTGCTTGTCAAAATCTTCACAAAACTATCAGAAAGAAATCAGATTAGCCTATACTCACATCAGATGTAATTGTTTACGTGACATTTCAATAATCATATCACAGAAATCAGGTCATGGGCAGATCTGTGGTGTGCATGTAAACATAGCCACTGATCTATCTACATCTCTAATCCATATGTCCTTATATTTCCCATCAGGCTTTGCGGTGGGGCCTGTGGTGAGTAGAATGACCGGAAAGACCCAGACGAGCAACGTGACCAACAAGAATGATCCCCGCTCACTCAACTCTCGAGTCTTCATCGGAAACCTGAACACGGCGGTGGTGACGAAGGCTGACATCGAGGTGATCTTTTGTAAATACGGCAAGATCGTGGGCTGCTCCGTGCACAAGGGCTACGCATTTGTGCAGTACTCCAGTGAGAGGAACGCCAGAGCCGCTGTGTCCGGGGAGTACGCAAGGGTCATCGCTGGACAGTCACTAGGTAAGTGTGTGTGTGTGTGTGTTTGTTTGTGAGCTGTTCAGTCTAGTAAAAGTAGATCTATCCATGTCGTCAGATACGAGGTTCATGTTCAAATCAAATATAACTCTTATTGGTAACAGCTGTAATAAAATTCTTCAGCACAAAAACATCTGACATGGCCAAGTTGTGTATGTTATAATGTTTATGTTATAATTTGGTGTTCTGGTTCTCAAGACAATTATCTCATTTGGGTTGCCATTTTCAACGCTGAAATCCAGTAAATGAAAACCTAAATTGCCTCGCTACTGAAACCCTGCAGCCAATTATGATCCAGTGCTAGTGCAGCCTCTGCAGCTCAGTGATGCTTGAGGTTCTGAGCTTTCATGTGAAGCCTGTCCATATACTGAGGATGAGAAAAACTTCTTTCACAGGTCTGTCTGCAGGTTAAGATTGTGGGAACCCAGGTTCTATTGGATTGTAGTATCTTTCTCATATCTGTAAGAGCACAGGTTACATATAGTTACTTTTATACAGTGTTTCTGTTAGGTTTGTTTCATACCCAGGTATGAACTCATTCTAAAACTTGTATCCAAGATACCCTTACCCCATTGGAAAGGTTGAGCAGGAGTTTTTTCTGTAGTAGTGACTGTTGTTGTTGAGACAGCAGCACTCATCATTCAGATCAGAATGTAATGTTGTTTTGTTTTTACACTATATCAGATTTAAGCAGTAACTGTAATCACAAGTAAACTATACAGCATTAATACAAAAGCATTTCTTGCTAATTGCTAACATTTGTTATTTTCACAACAGTTTAAACGGCTTGCTATGCACCCTCTGCTGACGACAATGGCACTTCGGGATGAATTATGTTTATTTATACGTGTGCGTCATTATGCAAGTTGTAAATATTTAAATACCAATGTTCAGGTCTCTAATGGTGGCTTAAAAACTTTGTAATGGCTAACACTGAATTACTTGAAGGTTTAGTGTAACATACCCACACAATAATGTTGGGTCAATGTACAGAATCGAGGAGAGACTGTAGTGTATACGTACACTATTCAGTGGTAAACCGTCTGATGAATGCTCTAGTCCCTGACTGATCGCGTGAGTTGATGCTTAAATTCAAATACCAAATAGATCTTAGTAGCTGTAGTAGCTTGACCTCAAACAAGAGCATCTTTGAATAAAGTGGTGATAGTGAGAGGAAAGCTTTATGCCTATTTTATTTTCATATTATAGCTGCTGTTAGTTTTTCAAGATCATAGTCCAATGCTTTTCTCAAATGCAATAGAGTTTTAAATATTTAATATTCTGCTAGATTGGAAAGTTAAAATGCCTGGTTTGACTACACATTTCACTCAAACCTTTTTAATTAATACAATAATATTTAGGATTTTGCAAACTGCCACTGATTCACTATGTGAAACTATTATATATATATATATATATATATATATATATATATATATATATATATATATATATATAATATATATATATATATATATATATATATATATATATATATATATATATATATATATATAACGAGTATCTACTACTATCATACACAATTTAAAGTTTTATTCACTAGCAAACATTTTCACTGAAAACAAGACTCTAGTTTTAAATGAAAGTAAACTATTTTGCCAACATTATATTTGATCAGTAAACTATAAAAGTGTTGCCGTGGAGCTTCAAAATAAGACATAGGAAATGTACAGGGACTTGGACTCTTGGTGTTTGGGGGATCTGAGTAAACCCTGTTATATTACTTATTGATCACTTCACAGCCCTCTCCATAGAAAAACACAGTCCTCCCTGAGCCCCTGTCTCTCATTAAATATGAATCAGAGCTCCTCTGGTCACATCTGTAAGTCCAGACAGTGCCTCATGCATTTAAACACCCCGATAACCATTTTTTGACCATGTATTTGACCAAAATGTGTCTTGTTCCAGTACAGATACATTGTATAAGCGGCTCTTGAGGTCAAAATATGTCTGTTAAGTGCTGTCTCCATTTAACTATAGAGTGTTTTACTGTCCAAGAACCAGGAGTGCACTGTTAGCATGATAGTTGTTGTTAGCATTACTCCGCTCTGGTCTCTCAGACTTGTGAAACACACTTATAAGTTCATTGTGGTGAATAATTAGGGTGCTCTGAATGCATAAACTAAGTGAGAAATAACTTTGGGGAAACTGTTTAAAATGAACTAGTTATAATTACCTGTTACACACAAAACACTGCTTGTTTTTAAGACTGTAAAACGCAGATAGATGTCTATGCAATGACTCGAAGAGATAACCTTACTGTGTTCAATAAGATCCTTAACTGGTTTTACATGAAAACATAATAAGAGAGACATTTTTGAGAGTTCCATCTGATTATGTGATTATGTGATTATGATTGTTATCTTTGCACTAAAAATGGGTGTTATTTTTGCTATTTATGTATAGCTGCTTGTGTTACAAATTGAGGAGTAGGTGGAGGGGTTACAGGAGAACAAGAAAGCAGTGGCTGTAGGCAATTTTTTATAATGATATAGTGATTATGTTATTTTATGTTGTATGGTGGTCACCCATTTCTGCTCCTACGATCTCAAATTAGCTGTATATGAAAGCCCTTACCCACTCACCAAAAGGTCGATTTGATCTCCTCCTCCTGAATCTCTGTCCGTGACTAAAACACAACTCAGTTAATCATTGTTTTAACATAACAGTTTACAGAGTAAGTACGTACAAGCCACGTCCTGCTGTGTGCAAAATCAGCAGATGTTTTCAAAGGGTTTTCTGAAACAAAATAGCCTACAAAAGCTACAAATGCTATACAGGAAAATATTAAACTTCATAAGCAATTGTGATGTATTAGCTGTTTTGAGATCATAGAATGTGTATCAATAATTTAGTATTTCCTCAAGCTTTATCCCAAATTGAACTGAATGAATACATGGCAAGTCCAATTATCTTGCTACATTTATCCAACCACAGCACAAAATCTGCATATTAACAATGAGTGCAGGATGATCTCTTCCTAAATGTATATCCCAATAGAAAATAGAGAGTTGTGTGGTTACAATTTAATCATCAATACACATGGTGGTAGACAAAAGGTTAACGTCTTCTTGTTCTCTGCATTTGACTCATCTTTTCCCCTGGTGCCAAAGAGCAGGAGGGATCTTGAGGACTTGGTCTTGAGGACTTCAATTCCATAACAATAGCTGGAGGATTGTTGTTCATGTTTTAGCTTTTGTTATTGTTAAACGTTTTCTTTCACCCCCACAAATCCTTTGTTACTCATTATTTGTGTTTTTAATACCTGCAGTTCCTTTGCGGGGTTCAAGCATCAAGCTTTAAACAGCAGTTTCAATGCACATGCAAATTATTTCACATTTTTATATTTTTTAAACTCACGAAACACATAAATATATCACCTAGCTATTGAACAGTTCCCTTTTAATCTACCACTAGGGCTGGGTATCATTAAGAAGTTGCAGATACATATCTTGATACAGTGCACTTTCGATTCGATACGATATATTTCAAATCGATTCGATACGTTTCAATAAATAATAAAGGCTAAATGATGGCTGTGACACTAAAAGTCTTTGTTAAACTACTTCTTGTCAATTGTGTTGCAAAAACAGGTTTCCTTCCACTAAACAACTCATCTTTAACAAAATAACTGAGTAAAATATACCAAAAAATACTCGGCGATATATTGATACAGCAGTTCACGATATCGATACTGTATCATTACATTAAACTATACGATATATCGATATTTCAATATTTTTACACACTCCTTTTTACCACCATTTTAAATTTACATTACAGGACTAATTCATAAAGCCATTTCGAACACAGAGCAGGACTAAGAAATGAATAAACATAATAACCTTGAGCAGCAAAATTCTTATGATATTTGTGAGTTCGTAAACTCACGAACATCCTTATTGACATACTCCCACTGTAAGGTTCAAATCCGCCCAGCAGTGGACGGACCTATCACAGAGCAGCTTTGAGGTTTGTGTGGAAGCCAAAGGCGAAATGCCCTAGTGAACCAAACAAACATGGTGACACAGATGTACTTCATCTTATTTTAGCATCAACGGGGTCTATTTTGTTTGTGAAAAACATGTGGAAGGTAAGAGCTGCATGCATTTGTGGACAGGGAAGATGTCTGTGGTTTGCTGTGAATGTTCCTGGAGTTATTTACTATGTGCACTCTGACCAGAATCCTACTTTTTAAGCAAATATCACAAATGTAATAGCAGTACTTGTCCAGAAAATTGTAGTATGATTTTTTTCCCCCCTAATCGTCTAGCCCTATCTTCAGTATCCTATAATCCTGTATGGAGAAAAACAGCAGGTCTTTTTAGCTGACTTCACTCATATTCAGTGTTGGGAAGGTTACTTTTAAAATGTAATCCCCTACAGATTACAGATTACACACCCCAAAATGTAATTTGTAACATAATCCTTTAAATTACTTAAAGTGAGTAACGTAATCTGATTACTTTGGATTACTTGATATTGTCATGTTTTTTTAAACGACATGAATGTAGCAACCACATCCTCAAAATTCTTGTTTGTTGTCTTCAAATTGTCTGAGCCCAAGTCTCCATGAATAAGCAACTGTTTGCTGTAGAGAAACAAAGACCACGAGATCTTAATATAAGAGGTTTTGTCTGTTAAAAGACAGTAACAAGATCAGCTTTTCCTTCACCAGATTAAAAAATATTATTGATAGAGAAATTATATGAGATCACCTTAAATTATGTCAACCTACTGTTAGGTGTCATGTTGTTTAGACCTGGTTTAGTCCTGGTTTAGTCCTGGTTTAGTCCTGATTTTTAGACCTGGTCTAGACCAGGTCTTTAGTTCTGGTTTAGTCGTGGTTTAGTCCTAGTTTAAACCTGGTTCAGTCCTGCTTTAGTCCTGGTTTAGTCCTGGGTTAGTCCTGGGTTAGTCCTGGTTTAGTCCTGGTGTTAGTTCTGGTTTAGAGGCGCACAGGA